AAATATAATCCAATTTCTTCACTTAGTTAGGATCACCATAACAAACAGCTAATAACCTCTCCACTTCAAATTCTTCATTAAAAAAATTGGAAGCTTTATTGTTTTCTTCATCATCTTCTTCTTATTAACTAACTGAGTTCAAACTCTTATCTGGCTCTTTATTTGAACCGAACACTGAGAACTACTAGCACTATTTTTTCCATTCCTTCAGTAAAGATAAAAAAAAAAAAAAAATGTCACTTCATTCCTACTTGCTCATTCAAACAATATATTTGATGAGATATCAAACTTAACAGAGCAAATCTTCAGCATATTGACAGATAAAAGTAATAATTTAAAAGGAAATTCCACCTGTGTCTCAAGATGGTTGCATTTCAAACTTTAAAATGCATCAGCATTTATGTCAACAATCCACCTCTACATTAAGCACAAAAAAAAAATCAGCGTACTCCCAGTCAATTAAAAAAGTAAATCTTTGATATTGACATAGTACAAATATTTTTTAACTAAAAGTTGATGGAAATACCATCAGATTTCAAAAACTTACGATTACTAGTTTTACACAAGACAATGATGCACCAATGCAGAGAGTAGTTGACATGGCAACATAGCCAGAATACAAGTCCAGTAAATGCATCTCAGAATTCCTAATGATGTTTGAGTCACTCTCACTTGAAATAATAGACGTGTCATTATCTCTTTTTTCATTTTTCTGGTTTAATAAAGCATACATCAATCAATGGAACAGAAAAATCAAATTCCATACAATAGGAGCAAAATAAATTACCATTGATTATGTTTGCAAAAGTCAAGTATGCAATGTATATTTCATATCATAATATAAGTCACCAAGAGGATTTTTTTCCTCCTTTGTCTTTAAGTCCATCTGCATTGTCAAGTGAACGAGTTATGACCCTTTATATTAAAAAGAATGCGTCAATTGACCCATAAAATGGAGGGAATAATTAAAGGCAGAACAGTGCAATACTGTTATATTTAAGGCAACTTGAACAATTTTTACTTTAGACACAATACAATTAATTAAGTAGATTGTCATTTTTACCATCTGACATAAACACTCCTTTTTGTCAACAAGATTTACATAGCCCTTGATGACCTAGAAATGACCAAAAACTGCAAGTTCAATACATAACAGATCATAAAGATATGGGTGAAAAAATATGGAATAATCTAAATAATCTTACCATGTCATCAGCTCTATAAAACCATTGAGCAGTAAAGTATAGCTCCCCATCAGTGCCTTTAAACAACTTAATGATTCTAGCAAAATGCTTCCCATCTTCAGCCTGAAAATTTAGCGATTATCAATACATGAACTTGGAAACACTTTCACTAAAAGGAAGATAAAAGAATTAAGAAGTGCCTTGACATAAGCTTTAGTGTAGAACTTCTTCCTCTTCGTTTGATCCACTATACCCAGAACATAGAAATCAACATATGGAATATTCATACTTGTCAAACTTATGAGTTGTGTATGCACAACAGTTATTTGTGCAAATTGGTTGTCAATCTTATGATTTGGCTTGTTTCCTTTGTCGTGTGTGTGCACATTAGTTTTGCGTGCACACTGGTTGTCAAACTTGTGTCTTGGCTTGTTTCGTTTCGAGTGTGTGTACACAACAGTTTGTGCTTACACTCTCGCTTCAGATATTTGCAACCCAGCATAAGTTGTATGTCTGATAAAATGAAAAAGATATTGGTTATCCTTGTCTTTTACTTTTTAGGACCTTTTACATGTGTCATAGTATCCTTAAGTGGTTCTAGGGAATAAAGTTTCTTTTCCCGATTTATTTTGTGGTCCAAACCAAAAGAATGAATATTTTCCTTATTTGGACAAACATGGGTCAGCCCCTTGTTGGCTGACGTGACATTAATGTTTTGAGCAAGAAACCCTACATTATATATCATCTTATCTTGCGTCTTTGAATATAACCTTTTGATCTTTTATTTCTTTGTACTTTGAAATTTCTCAGAGTATTCTATCTCTTAAGGTTTATAGGTTCATTTCCATTTTGTGCCAAAACTTCACCATATCATACATTGATTTGATGGCTCTTGGAACGTGGCTCCTTTGCTGATGCTGGTGCGTGGCATCAGTGCTTGAAGCTTGGTAGTTCACAAGCTGTTCTCGGGTGTGTTCCCGGCATGAAGAAGATCCTTGGAGCAACTAAACATTAGAGATTCAGAAGGTGGTGTTAAGTGTAACTAGAACAGAGAGTTCTTTTTGCTGTAACTTTAATCAACTCTAAGTGATATCTTGTAATGTTTGTTAACTTAGTGGATTAGCTTCAATCTAGACAAGATCTCATGGATGTAGGCTAAAAGTGGATTTTAGCCGAACCATGTATATGGTTGTGTTCTTTATTTTCCACACTTATGTTTGATGTGGTTAAATTGGAAATCTCTTAATCAACTTAGTAATATTTCCACTTCACTTAAAATGGGTAACCATACACTAAAGTGAGTTAACCAACAACTCTACTCCCAACATACCACAACAATATTATCAATTGATTCATCAATAAAAATGGTAAGAAGCCTTATTGAGGTGTATTTCAACGTGCTTTTCTAAAAGCAAAAAAAATTTTTTAAGAGATTAAAAAACACTTTAAAAAATATACTTATCAGCTCTTCTTTGAAAATTTTTTAACCATTTTTCAACTTAGAAAATACTTTCTAGATGAATATCAATCAAATACTCATCCAGAAGCAGAAGGTGACTTTTTAAGAAAAGATTTAGTTTTAAATTGCGTTTTATTTTCTTTTACCAAAATCACTTTTTAAATATATCTGGAATTGTTTTAGAAAACGTCAATTTTTTTTCTAATGAACTACAAAACACTTTAAAATAATACATTTTTATCCATAAACAATTGAACGCTATAAAATAATAACTATGATAATAATAATCAAAGAAAAACTCTTCTAAGAAAAAGATCAACTGATTAGGAGCAGTCACTGCCAGAGCTCCATTTTTCTTCTAGAAAAAACCAAAAAATCAAAAACTCCAAAGCAAAAACATTTCCAAAAAAATAAAATAAAAAATCAGTTTAACCTTGGAGGAGCATTTGTTGGTGTATCTCATCGGCTATTCTTTTGAGCCTTAGAAGCCGGAGTGGGTGGACCCACGAAGGAGAATTCGGAGTCGAGGTTGTTCTTTCAATTCTTCTTTTATTCTTTGCCCGTCCTTGACTTTTAAAAATTTTTGCTATGTTTTTACAAATTTACCCCTATATAAAATTAAAATACCAAAAAACTGCATTATATACTTATACCCAATAAATTACACTTTTTTGTTTTAGGGGCTGTGAAACTAAAAGTAAACCCTTCATTCTCCTGCTAAAAGTAAACCCATCTTTCTCTTTCCCTCGGACGTCTTCTTCCTCTTCAATAACCTATAAAGTCAATTCTTTTCCTTTAAGGCTTTATCTACACAAGTGTAATTTTCTCCTCTTATCAAGCCAACAAGTCCCTATTTTCTTCAATTTTTCAGGTAATACATTTTATGTTTGTATTATTTTATTTTAAAAGTTTTAGATTAAATTATAGATTACGATTTAGGAAGATGAAATTGTCATTAGGATCACAAATTATAACTATTTTTTATTTATTTGTAATGATATATTGAAGTTAGAGGAAGTAAGAAGATAGTTTTTAAACTTATTTTGGAGTTGGCCTTGGGACCACATTTTACCCATTCCATATTGCCCTTTTTTTGTTTTTTATATGGAGAAGATGAGTTCTTGGGACCACATTGTTTAACTAATTTTTATCTTTATTATATAAAAGTGTTTGATTCAAATGAATTTTGGAGTTGGCTTTGGAACCACATTGTTTTACCATTATAGCCGAATTTGTGTTTTTTTTTTATATGGAGAATATGAGTTCTTGAGACCATATTGTTTTACCCATTTTTATCTTTGTTATATAAAAGTGTTTGATTCAAATGGATTTTGGAGTTGGCCTATGGCAATTTTGTGTTGTTTTTTTTATGGAGAAGATGGGTTCTTCATTCTTGGGACCACATTATTTTACCCATTTTTATATTTGTTATAAAAAAGTGTTTGATTCAAATGGGAGTTAATTTTAATTGTTTTACAAGTGTTATGAAAAAGTGGATTTAATTGTACAAGTGTTTGGTTATTTGAATAGATTTTTTACACATATCAATTGAATTTTAGCCAATGTATATAATGTAAGATATATTTAAAAAAAATATTGCATTATGATCTATTTCAATTCAATTTCTATTACTTTAATTTAATTTTTGTTAAAGTACTTACAAATTAGAAAAAGAAAGAGATATACTTGTGATTTGTGATGTGTATGTATTGTTAGAATACTTTAACTTATTAGCTTTATAAATTTTTGTAGTAGTTGTAATTTCACTTATCTTAATAATTATTATTGTATACATAGATTATTGTTATTGTTTGATTTTACTGAGTACATAGCTTATTTTGTTACATTTTTCTCTATCAAGTAATAATATATTATTGTTTTGAAATAGTATGAAGAGATATTTCAAAAGAAAGTCAACAATGATCTCATCATTTAAACAAGAGAAAAATATTGGTGATTCAAGTAAAAATGTGGATGTTGATTTGCAAGATCTTCCTACGGATCCAAGCTTAAGACCCCAAATTTCAGATTATGATCCTAATATTCAAGATCAAATTCGAAGAATATATTTGGAAAGAGGTCATTTTCAACCTAAGGGCCATGAGTTTCCTTCTAGGTATTTTGGTGGATTTTCAAGATGTTTTATTGTTTCTTGGTTTAGTGAATTTGAACAATGGTTGGAATATAGTATAGCCAAAGATGCTGCGTTTTGTCTTTATTGCTATCTTTTTAAGCCAGATAGTGATAAATGGGGTGGTGATCGCTTTGTTGGTCAAAGGTTTTCAAATTGGAAAAAGAAAGAAAAATTGAATATTCATGTTGGAGGTTCTAATAGTGCTCATAACTAAACTCGAAGAATGTGTGAAACATTATTGAATCAAGACCAACATATTCAGACATTTTTTGATCGATATTCTTCTCAAGCACGAATAGAGTATCGAACTCGTTTAAATGCTACAGTTGACTGTATTCGTTTTCTTCTAAGGCAAGGACTTGCATTTCGTGATCATGATGAATCCTATGATTCAAGCAACCAAGGGAATTTTCTCGTGCTTCTACAATTTCTTGCTAATCATAATGAAGATTACAATGATGTTGATTTCAAGAATGCTCCTGATAATCTCAAATTAACATCACCTGAGATTCAAAAAGAAATTGTAAGTGCTACTTCAAATGAAATCGTAAGTGCTATCATTAGAGATTTAGGAGATTCATTATTCGCTGTAATAATTAATGAATCTCGTGATATCTCTAGGAAGGAACAAATGGCTATTGTCTTACGTTATGTTAATAAGAATGGACTTGTTGTGGAGCGTTTTCTAGGTGTTGAACACGTTGCTAGTACCACAACTCTCTCACTCAAAGCAACACTAGATAATTTCTTTTCAAGGCATGGGTTGAGTTTTTCTAGACTGCGAGGACAAGGTTATGATGGAGCTAGTAATATGCAAGGAGAATTTAATGGTTTGAAGACATTGGTGTTGAAAGAGAATAGATGTGCTTATTATATTCATTGTTTTGCCCATCAACTCCAGTTGGCTCTTGTGGCTTTGGCAAAGAACCATGATGATGTTAATGATCTTTTTAATATCGTGGCAATTGTGGTTAATATTGTCGGTGCTTCGTCAAAGCGTTACGATCTTCGTAGAGATAAGCAAGCTTGTAAAGTTATTGAAGCTCTTTCTAATGGTGAACTTTCAAGTGGAAAATGTCTCAATCAAGAGACTAATCTGCAACGTGCTAGTGATATGCATTGGGGCTCACATTATGGTACGTTAATGAGCATAATCTTGATGTTTTCATCCATTATCGATGTTCTTGAAATTATGACAAAAGATGGGTCAAACTCTAAGCAAAAATTTCATGCAAAAAAAATATTTAAATTGATGCAATCATTTGACTTTGTGTTTAGTCTATTTTTTATGAAAGATATACTTGGCTTTACAAATGAACTTTCTCAAGCACTACAAAGAAAAGATCAAGATATTGTAAATGCTATGAATTTAGTTGAAGCATGTAAGCAAGCTTTACAATTGATGAGGGATAATGAATGGGAGACTTTATTAAGCAAAGTTTATTCTTTTTGTGCCAATCATGCAGCTTCAAGAGTTGAATACTTGTTTCAATGAGGTAAACACTTAATTGCTTATTTGTTTGGCATGTTTATGTTTAAATGAATCGTTTGTTGCTTTTCATGAACATAAATTGATACGCCTTGCCGAACTTTATCCTGATGATTTTTCTGACTTAGAACTCATGGCACTTGATTCTTAACTTGATGTTTACATTTTGGATATGCACTCTAATGTCAAATTTATGGGATTGAAAGGGATTGGAGATCTGGCAAAAATGATGGTTGAAACTAAGAAGGATAAAGTGTTTCCATTAGTTTATTTGTTGATGAAATTAGCATTGATTCTACCCGTTGCCACTGCTAGTGTAGAGAGAGTATTTTCAACAATGAATTTTATGAAGAATCGTTTGCGAAATAGAATGAGTGATCAATGGTTGAATGATAGCCTAGTTGTGTATATAGAGAAAGATGTATTTGATAGTATTGATAATGAAGTCATTATACAATACTTTCAAAAGATGAAATCCCGTCGAGGACAATTATAAATGTACTAGTTAATGAGAATTTTATAAATACAAAATTTATGCTTATGTTAATTTAAAATTGTATTGTTCTTTTAACTTTGACCCCCCCATACATTATTTTTGGCTACGCCCCTACAAATAACTATTACAAAACCCAAAACAAAAAGTCAACAAACAAAGATTCAAATTTAATAAAGGAAAACCAAAGTCATTAAGTTTTTTTTTCTAGGAAACATTGTTAGGGTGGCAGTGAAGTGGGATATTTTGGGGCGAGGGTGGGGATTGAGGTTAGGGTAAATGTTATGAAGGCATCATGATGCTACTGAAGGCCAAATCTAGCCTCTCGACACATTTAGAATAGGCATGCAAACGAACCGAACAAGAACGAACACCCCCCATTCGAAACTCGTTCGATAAGCACAGAGGGGTGTTCAAAATCGTGTTCGAACTCGAACGAACATAGAATGGCTGTTCGAGTTCGTTCGATTAACCAAACGAGCAGTTCGTGATCGTTCGATTAACTCATTCAAATAACTTGTAAATATCTGTTCGAATAACTCGTTCGAATAACTTAGGATTGTTCGAGTTCGTTTGATTAACCAAATTAGGGATGTGACTGAATTGGATTTGGATTTTGGGCCGGGTAGGGGAAAATGTGGAATTGGGTTTGGATTTTTGTTTTTAAATTTGGGTTGGGCCGAGATATACATATATATATAGTTTTGTGTATATACAAAATTATTATCATACATATATTAATCATAGATTAAATATGTTTAATATGTTATTATATTACCAAAATTATAGGTTATCATATATATATTATCATTACATAAATTATCATAAATATTTTAAATGTCTATATATATATTTTGTATCAACACCCATAAATTCATAGTGGTATGAGGGTTTATTGTAATATATGATCAAATACATATGTGTGATTAATTTGTTATATACATATGATCAAATATATATATATATATATATAAACACACACAAAATTATTATCATACATATATTAATCATAAATTAAATATGTTTAATATGTTATTAAATTACCAAAATTATAGGTTATTATATATATATATTATCATTACATAAATTATCATAAATATTTTAAATGTCTACATATATATTTTGGATCAACACCCATAAATTCATAGTGGAATGAGGGTATATTATAATATATGATCAATACATATGTGTGATTAGTTTGTTATATATATATATATATATATATTGTAATTGTGTATATACAAAATTATTATCATACATATATTAATCATAGATTAAATATATTAAATATGTTATTAAATTATCAAAATTATAGGTTATCATATATATATTATCATTACTGTCTACATATATATTTTGTATCAACACCCATACCCATAAATTCATAGTGGTATGAGGGTCTATTGTAATATATGATCAATATAAATATGTGATTAATCAAGGTTTAATTAAGCTATTATATTATTAAATTTGTCATATTATATATCACTTGATTATACAATATGTTATGTTCATAAATTTGTCATACTACATTTAATTAAACTATTATATTATTAAATTTGTCATGCTATATATCACTTAATTATACAATATGTTATGTTCATCAATTTACCATACTATATTTAATTAAGCTATTATGTTATTAAATTTGTCATGTTATACATCACTTGATTATACAAAATGTTATGTTCATCAATTTATCATACTATATTTATTATTTATTAATTGAAATACTATCTTATAATATTTAATTATTGATTACATTTGGAAAAAATATGAAGCTATTATGTTATTAGATTTGCTATGTTATATATCACTTGATTATACAATCTATTATGTTATTAAATTTGTCATGTTATGTATCATAATTATATATTATTTTTTAATTAAAGTGTTATATACTTATATATTTAATTATTGAAGACATTTGAAAAAAAAAAAATCCAAACATATTATATATATAAGAAAAACAAAAACATCATAATATTTTATTATTTATTACCATTAAAAAAAATTCATCCAAACTAAATCAAACATAATATAAAAAAGAAAAAATATAAATATATATAATAATGTATACCATGTTTTTCGAATATAAACGAACGAATAATCGAACAGATTGTTCGCGAACGAATGGATCAATCAAACATAGTATGTTCACGAACATAATCGTATGAACATCCTATGTTCGAACTCAAATCGAACATATTATTAAACGAACATCGAGCTGTTCACGAACAGCTCGGTTCGTTTGCAACCCTAATCTAGAACCTTGTTGGAGTTTACAATGTCATTGGAGGGCCAGAAATTCCAAATCCATCTTTTACTTTGCCAAGTAACAAAAAAAAAAAAAAAAAAAAAAAAAGAACTTACATAAATGAAATCAAGAAATAGAAATAGAATAGACCGACATTGTTTGATTATTAGAAAAATAATTTGAAACCCTGAGAAGTTGTAACTTAATAATATCAACAAAAATGGATGCAATTTGTATTAGATAAAGGCAAACTAGATTCATATACATATAATCAATTAACTATATAACGTCATTGTTTGCCCTCCTTGAAGGAATAAACTAGACTTACAACTCTTCAAGTTGAACCCATACTAAATGGTTGTTAACACTAAAACAATTGATGCACGTCTAAACTAAATTTGAAAATCATCAAAACTTTACATCAAATGAAAATGAAAAGCTACACTGCTGATAATTAAGAGGGTTTATACAGCAGGTATGTGTTTAATTAAGTATTTATTTTTCAAATGATCAAGCACAAATGAGGACGAACGTGGGCACTATAACCATTTTTTTTTTTTTTTTCCTAGGACAACGTGGTTAGCATACTCCTGAATGATCAATTTGACCAATATCATTTGCATGTGCGTCTCCCTTATTCGACTTTCCATTGAAATCCTNTAACACTGAAAAGAAAAGAATTGCAGCAAAAGAATCTTGAGAAAAGAGGAGAAAGAAACGGTTAAGAGAGAAAACAGATTCAGATCTGGAAAAAAAAATTTCTGCTTTGAAACGAAAGCTACTGTACAAAGACATATATACTGCTTTCTTTAGTAAAACGCAGCGTATTGGCAAAGCTCTTTCTGACCCTATTCTACTCACATATGACACTCTGGTCCTTAGACCTTTATACACAATATTCCCCCTGAAACTGAACCATACTCACATATGACATTCTAACAAACTGCTGTAGTCTCATGACCTGCAGACTAAAACAGAATCTTTACACAAATCTGCAGGAAACAAACAGAATCAGCTCACAAACTGCATTTCTTTTACAAAAAAAAAAAAAAAAAAAAAAAAAAAAAAAAAAAAAACTGTACTCAATCAACTGCTCCACACACTACACAAACTGCAATTCTGCACTTCACAAACTACATTTCTACAAAAACTGCAGTCAATCAACAGCTTAACACCTTGCAATTCTGCAATTCTGCACTTCACACACACTGCACAAATCAACTTCACACACTGCACAAACTGCATTTCTTCACAAAAAAAAAAAAAAACTGCAACAAAATGTTTCACAAAAACTGCAGTCAATCAACAGCTCCACACACTGCACAAATCAGCTTCACACATTCACAAACTGCATTTCTTCATAAAAACTGCAGTCAATTGATTGCTCCACACACTGCACAAACTGCATTTCTGCACAAAACTACATTCATTCAACAGCTGCTCCACACACTACACAAACTATATTTCTTCACAAACTGCATTTCTACAAAAAACTGCAGCCAATCAACAGCTTAACACCCTGCACAAACTGCAATTCTGCACAAAAACAACATTCAACTATCATCAATCAGCTTCACACACTAGACATCTTTCAAGCCTTATCAGATAGAACATTTTGATTAACAGCAGACTAAAGTATCTCCTCAGCAGTAGCATTAACATCTTCCTTCTCAGCATAGTCATCTTTCTTGTACTCATAAGAAAGAACAACTTGTTTATCCTTCAGTAACTCTGAAGAGGCAACCAGGCTGGACGTATTCAATCTGGCACGCAGAATCTGAGGTCTGTGACTTGGAAAAGGTTTTGTTAGAAGATCAGCAATTTGATATTCTGATGCAACATACTGAACACTAAGTCTTTTTTCTGCTGCAAGTTCTCTCACATAATGCACATCAATTTCAATGTTCTTGGTCCTTGCATGAAAGACCGAATTAGATGACAAAGCTCCAGTACTCATGTTGTCACACCAAAGGACAGGTGTTACATTTGTTAGAGTAGATGCCCTAAAGCCAATCAATTATTGTAGAATTGACTCTTTGTAATAATGTTCATTAAACAATAAAAGGCATTTTATTCTATATCGCGTAAATCATTATTATTGCAATATGTATTGATATATGTCCTTAGAATGGTAGAGCCGTGACGAGGGTATCAAGTGTTTCAAATCTTGATAGTGAGAACCCTATGAGCACATATGGTGGCCATTCTAGAAACGTCCGTAGCCCCAGTATTATTCTGAACTAAGGGCACAGATAA